TGTAAAGATTATTATGCGTTATTGAAACATCAAGGAGGACGCAGCAAAGAATGTCACTATAAATTAAAACTACTTTATTATTTCATGGAACAGCCTTACTGTACATTTAAAAGGGAAACATAATGATCATACATAAAAAGACCCCATAAGGCTAGATGTTTTCTTTCCCTTATTTATTTATTTATTTATTTGTTTGGCGCATGTACTCATGTACGCCTCTCTTTTCACTCCACTCCGAAGCCCCAGCTGGCCCTCTTCGGCCCAAGGTACGCTGGCACAAGAAAGCCCAGATGTGGCCCGATTAGGCCCCGGAAGTGACAGTGGAAACGCAACTGGCCTTGGCTCACTCGCTTTAGGCGCGATAGTGGAAACGCGGCTACTGACTGTGAAATAGGCCTCACTTGTTTTTTCCACTAGGAAAATGACCTAAATCTCCAGTTATGGTTTAAAATGGACAAAGATCACTTGGTAGATATTTCATTCCTTTTTATATGGGTATCGTAATAGCCATTTGAACAAAAACAACTGAACATACAGAAATATGCAGATACAAAACTGTACATATACTGTACAGTCAAGCCTGAAATTATTCATACCCCTGGCAAACTGTGAATAAAAGTTACTTTTATTCAACAAGCAAGTTTTGGGGGTTTTTGGCTGGAAATGACAAAGGCTTTTCCAAAAGCTAATAAGACAATGTACAAAAGGCATCATTGTGAAAAAAAAAAAAATTTGCAAAATAATCTCACAATGGGGTAAATAATCTTACGTCAAAAAAGAAGATTACTCTTTCTCTTAACCATTAGCCATTTATTTAGCTTATTTTAAGGTAAAACTCAAACAAGACAGTATCTTTTACTTGTCTAAAAAATGTTTCTTGTTTTAAGAATTTGTAGATATTTTGACTAGACATAAGACAAATGAATACATCTTTGGCAGTGCGCAGCATCTCGAGGGAAAAAAAAGAGCAGAGCAACTGGTGATTGTGCAGTTCAGTGAACTCGGACACAAACCAATGACTCACAGGCTGAACATTCCTAAAAATGGTCTGATGAAATAACTATCCCTGATTTTTTTTCTATGTACATCTCTTGATTAAAGAGCAGTCTGAGTAAACACCATATTGGGAAGTCAAAATCGAGGTGGAACCATCGCCAACATAAACATACATGCAATTTGTGATTTTACCCTGGTGAACAGTGAAAAACAGAAACAGCACATTATCCTAAACAATTTAAGTCACAACAGTTTTTAAAAAACAAAGTTTTGCAGTGTGAAAGAAAATATGTATTTAGTAAATGTGGTTTGGTGAACATACTATTCCAGCACAGTTTGAAACACTCTCTCGATGTGTGATTAACACACAATGATTTTAATGAAGAACTATTACCCTGCAGCAAAATGCAGGGAATGTCGACTACGTGCCAACATGCATAACGGCAAAACACAATAACAAAACTTGATCTGCAGAGACAAAAATACATGCGAAAATCAGCACAGCAACATTAGAGTGCCATCAGACATTATAAAAAAAGTCCAAAGATAAAAAAATTACAATTACAACAAACAAATAAAGATATTTAAAAATGCAAAGATTTCAGAAAAGGTCTGAAATGATGTATATTGTTTCTTTAATTTATTCTGTGTATTCTTTCACACAATGTGCACATTCAAAGGATATTCAATTTGGGCACCTAATTGTATGTTTGGGTCTAATATTAACTTATGAGCATATCATTATGATTTATTACTAATAATAAAACATTTTAATCCGTAATTGTTTTAATGATCAATTTAACAAAATAAATAAAGAAATAAATGTAATTCATAGGCCTGTCACAATAATCAATATATAGACTTATCGCACTATACGTGGACATGTCCTCAATCATTTTTGATGATGCAATATATATCGTCTATACATACAAACATTTCTAACCACATTTCAGCTGATTGTGCAGCCTCTCTATCTCTATTGGAGCTGTCAGTGTCAGTATGGTTAAAACACTACAATATTTACTAAAAATTACGATAGTATATTTTTATGTGAAAGCCTGATGACTGAAAATAGATCCGTTACTTTTTCTAGTTCTTTTTACCACAGACATTTTTGCTAACATTGATTATTATTATTATTATTATTATTATTAATTATTTGTTTAGGACACTCTGATTCCAACACATAATATTAAATAGTTAAAATGACTATAATTAAATGAAATATTACAAAGAATAAAATATAATGTGTTCTTTGGAAGAGTGTGCTTGTATTATGATGGTATTATATTGGTCTTAAAATAAAAATAATATTGTTTATCTCAATAAATTTTGTTGATATATATTGTACAAAAAAGATAAATATTGTGACAGGCCTAGTAATACATTATTAAATAGTAACTAGGGCGGCACAGTGGGTCAGTGTTTAGCACTGTCGCTTCACAGCAAGAAGGTCACTGGTTCGAGTCCCAGCTGGACCAGTTGGCATTTTTTTGCAAAAAACTGTGGAGTTTGCAGGTTTTTCCCATGATCGTGTGGGTTTCCTTTGAGTGCTCCAGTTTCCCGCACAGTCCAAAGACATGCACTATAAGCGAATTGGGTAAAGAAAATTGGCCGTATCGTATGAGGGCGTATAAACGTGTATGGGTGTTTCCCAGTGCTGCATTGCAGCTGGGTGACATCTGCTGCGTAAAACATATGCAGCAGTAGTTGGTGATTCATTCTGCTTTGGTGACACCAGAAATAGAAACTAATGCCGAGTTCAGACTGCATGATTTTAGCCCCGATTTTGACTCACCGACAGGTTTTCACACATCACACAGTGTGAACTATCAAAGACTATATCTGGAGCTGTCGGCGATTCAAATCAACCCATGTGAAATGTGTTCTGATTGAAAATAACATTAGCAAACACCTACAGCCAATGTGAGAGCAGCATTCACTATTGTGGGTACCTGCATGCCAGCGGAAGTTTGAGGGAGAACTTAAAATCACTCATTTTCAGTTTATTTGGACCCAAGAAATGGAGGAAAAAATAGTGTAAATTTGGCAGGAGCACAGTGTAGAGTTGATATTGACCCCATTAAAGGCTTATTTCTTGTTCTGTGGTTAGTAAAAAAAGATATACTACGTGTTTTTGGTTGTGAGTTTGGACAAAGTTGCCTGTGATTCTTCCTATTGTAAAGTCATGCGGTGCAAAAGCCCCTGTCTCCGATCTATCTTGCAGTGTAAACAAAGTAGTGACAAAACACTAGCCCAGATAGTCATGCAGCGTGAAAAAATCTGTGACACGACTACTTTGAAAATCATGCAGTCTAACCTCGGCATAAGGGGCCGATCACACCGAACGTACATTTAAGTTCCAAAAACGTGTTTGTTTTAAATATGTTTTTAAAATTTTTTATTAAAAATATAATTATAATAATTTATTTACAATTATTATTTAATATTTTATTTATAGGATTTCTGTTTAATTGCTGCATCATATTGTATTGTGTAATCATTTCTATTATTAAAGTTGTAACAGTCACTAATGAATGAATTAATTAATAAATAGTAACTATTCTTCATTCATTATAATTACTGTTATAAATTAAAATTATATTTTTATTACATTGTTTTTTACATAATAGTTTATTATATACAATATATAATAGTTTATTAACAGAGTTTATTCACAGGAATCAGAGAATGAAATTCAATACCTTTTAAGACCTTTTTTAAGACTCTTTCCATACATTTTAAGACCTTATAATTACTTTATGTTTTAAACGGAAACACTGGTGAGATTTTAACTTACAGTATATTTACTAAATATTAATGTAAGAATTAATCCAAAACTAAAACATTATTTATATACTGGATACAAATCTATTAAATCTTGCTAATTCAGCAGGTTGGCGCCTATGGAGCTGCAGAAATAATGGTGTGGCCTTGCTTACTGCAGTAAACAAAGCAGCATGGTGTCAAATCTAGCAGGATTTCATTGATTTCATAAACTACAGAGCATCCTGACCTGATATTTGCTGATTTAATTCAGGCAAACTTTAGCATTCAATAATACATTGCATGATCAAAAATTATATAACATTTAGTACCTTGCAAAACAGCATTTAAGACGTATTAATACTTTTTAAGGCCCTTAAATTTCTCTACATTGATTTATCAACTTTTAATACTTTTTAAGACCCCGCGGACACCCTGATTAAAATATAATTATTAAATTAGTCTGTAAAATGCAGTATTAAAAATATAACAATATCTATATAAACCAATAATGAAAGTTATTAATATTATTATGAACAATATAATTATAATATTTTATCTATAATTATTATTAAAAATATACTTAAAGAATTAGTTTCATTGCTGTATAATATTATTTTGTGTAATCATTGCTATTATAGGTGTAACAGTCATTAATAAAATATAACACACGCAAAAAAAAGTTCTCATAAACTAGGCAATGAGTCAGCATTGCTTTGGCTTAAGCAAATGGAAGAAAACATATTAAGTGACATTCATGAGCTGTTCAGTCTCCAAGAAATTGCGTCTTTGTTCGCGTTCCGATTGACATGCTAAGCAGGGTAAGAGACTTGTACATTTTCTGGTGGTCTCTATGTATTCATTCTATATGACCTTGAATGCTGAGGTCTCCTTCAGCCAGTAGCTGAAGAGCCTGGATACGGTATGGAGATTGAACAAACAAAGCAGGCCCAGTTACAGGGCACCCTTCCAAAAGAGGGGGAAGGGACGGCTCATACACAGATGCAGCCTTCACACAGTCACACACATACACTCCTACCCCTGAAACTCTCTCTGTCTAAGAGCCACTTGTAGAATATTCCAGAGTTTGCGGTGCCTCACGACAGAGCAAGCAGTTAAAAATGACTAGCTGCAGTTAAATGTCAAGCTAATTCCTGGCTTCTACTCACAGAGCATCCCCTACACAATTCTTTATTTTCCTACTATGCATTAAAAAAAAAACTCTTCAACAAACTCACCATTAGGGCATTTGAAGCACAAACGCTGTGAAAACCATGATAGAAAGCAGCAAACTGCCTGTAGATGGACTTATTCAGCAGGAAATCAATGTAGAGCTGGACATATTCTGTGCGAGGACAAACAGATCGATCTGTTAGTAGCGGAAATAAGACCGTGATGGCTCACACTTTATATTAGCTGACCTAACTTCAAAGTACTTGCATCACAAAATAAATGCAATGTAAATACAATTGTCTTGTTTTTAATCCAAATATCTAAAAAAAAAATCATACATCAATAAGCATTTTCTGTACAAGTAAAAAATATTTAGTGACTTATGAGAAATATTTAATGGCATACTTAAAAAAAAGGTGACTTAGTGTTCAAAAATGTTTTATTTTGAATATATATATTTTTTTTATAAATTGGTCTTACACTTCATATTTTCAGAATTTCCATAGTAAATGTATTAATTCTAATACTTTTACCATAAACTGACATATCAACCATTTAAGGCTGATATTTTAGATATTATGGGATGTGTTGAAAACAAATGCATTGAGTCTGTTAACTAGCGACATTAGGATTTAAGAAATGCAATCCAAACATGTTTTTTTTGTTTTTTTTTGGTGAGGTAGTTAAAGGGTTAAAACAATCCAAAAAATCTGACGAGGTTTGATTTGACATAATATTTTGTTTACCACAATTTTTGATTATTTTGCAAGTTTTAAGGAAAGACTCATTTAATTTTAATATTATTTCTTAAAATAAGACAATAGGTTTTGTTTGTCAAGAAAATGCTTCTTGATTGAAGAAGTTTTAGATATTTGGACTAGGGACAGGTTTGGTGGTATGGGTAGGTTTAAGGTGTAAGGAATTGTCAATGGTGTTATTTTATAAGTAATTACAGATGCAATACACGCAGATACTTGTAAGTAATCTACATTTGAAATCAGAATTATTAGCCCCCTTTTTTTATTTTTTCCCCGATTTCTGTTTAATGGAGAGAAGATTTATTTTCAACACATTTCTAAACATAATAGTTTTATTAACTCATTTCTAACTGATTTATTTTATCTTTGCCATGAAGACAGTAAATAATATTTTATTAGATACTTTCAAGACACTTCTATACAGCTTAAAGTGATATTTAAAGGCTTAACTAGGCAGGTTAGGGTAATTAGGCCAGTTATTGTATATCGATGGTTTGTTCTGTAGACTATAAAAAAAATGTTTAAAGGGGCTAATATTTTTTTACCTTAAAATGCTTTTTAAAAAATTGCTTTTATTCTAGCCAAAATAAAACAAATAATACTTTTTGAAGAAGAAAACAATATTATCAGACATACTGTGAACATTTTCTTGCTCTGCTAAACATCATTTGGGAAATATTTAAAAAGTAAAATAATTATTAACTCTGACTTTAACTGTAAGTACAATGTAAAAACACGCATTTACACAACAAGTGCATTGTTACAATTTATCTATTTCAGTGTAAGTACTTATTAGGTAGGGCCACCAATAAAAAGTGGGACCCAATGATGCAGTCATGCACATAACTACAAAAGAGAGACTACTTTAGAACTTTTTGCAAACCTTTTCTGTTTAGATTGGTTACAGGGATCTTGTCCCCTCCTGGTTTTAGATTATAGGCCTTGACCACTCCAAGTTCTTCTTGAAAAACCTAGAGAAAAAAAGAAGTTGCACAGAAATGACCTATATATTATTTGCACACTTTATTGTCTCATTCAATCAGACAAACTGGCTTATCTGTGAGATATGATGGACTGACGGAAAAGAGCGCAAACATCCTGATTGTGCAGGCCAAGTTTAGAGGGCAATCACCTGAAAGGTGGTATAGAAGTCCTCTTCAACATTTCCTTCATAGCTGAGCAGTTCCCCAAGGCCATGAGCAAGATCCTGAAATGCATGCAGAAGAATCGGTTTCAAGCATTTCAGTTCAAAAGACACTTTTCAGAACAAATAATAAAAAGTGCAATGCAAAACTTCTAACATTGTTTCAATTAAATGGTGTTTGGCTAATAAAACACAAGCAGATGACATGTTTCTATTCCTTGATAAACAGAAAATAGCTTTATAACAGAGTAGCTTTAGAGGCTCCACGTCCACATTACCTTCGGAAAAAAAGTTTGAAGGAAGCAAAGAAGCAAACATTGCCTGTAGGCAGTTATGTAAGTTTGGAGGAAGCCAGAGACTGTTAAAACAGAACATCTGGCTCATTTAAATCTGACTTTGCAATAACTGGAGAGTGAAGGAAAATCAATATGAAAGCACAGCTTAACTTGTTTTTCAAAATACAATCAAGCTATTGTATGTTACATTTCGGCATACATATTAGTTTGCTTTATGCCAAGAGTTGCTGTAAAAGAGCTGATATTGGGCGCCCTCTGCTGGACACGTTATCAGAAGCGCTGGCTAAATCTTAAAGGGATAGTTCATCTATACATGAAAATGTACTCACTATTTACTCATCCTCAAGTGCTTTTAAACATTCATGAGTTTGTTTTTTCCTTTTTTTTTTTTGAAGAATGTTAGAAGCCTTTAACCAACTTGCATAGGAGGACAAATAAATGCTATGGAAGTCAATTGTTACGTTCTTATGTGTTAAACAAAAAAATATATATATATAATTAAAGGGTTTTTGTAATAAGTGAACGTTGAGTAAAGTTCTATTTTGGTGGGAACTATTCATTTACTGTATAAAGACTCAAAAAAAATCATACAAAAGAGTTTTTACAGTGTTTTTAAAGACATGTTTGAATTTTGTTGGGTAAATAAGTGAACACCACTACTGATTAAAACATCAAGTCTCTACGATTTATTTAAGAAGTATTCTACACTGAAAAACAGCAATATCATGGAATATTACTTAAATTTAATATACATTTAAATTTGAATATATTTAAAAATGTAATTTCTTTTTTGTTATGTAATAATCTGAATGAGAAGGTTTCAGTGTCATATTGTTCTTAATAAATCATAATATACTGATTTAATACTGAAAAAACATTTGTGATTGTAATGAAATATTGAAATCTGGATTTTTTTTAACACCAATACCAGACTTTTCCCCCATTCAGACGGTGGTTTGATATTTTGTTTTGTTTTTAGTGCACAAAATAGTCAGTCATATGAATGTATTTTTTACACAAACTACTGGTGATTGAAAGTTGTTGTTGTGGAATTTCCTTAAACCTTGATTGGAGCAGAATTCAATTAAATTAGTTCATGGGGTCACTAACATGATGGCCTGTTCTAAATGTGGCCTACCAGTAAGCTGCATCTAATACTTTTTGTAGCTATTTTTTTTTAAATAACACTTGCATTAGTGTAAGTTTGAAAATAACAATACTGTATATATATGTATAATATTTATATAACAAATAAAACATATTAGCTAGCTAGTTTCCACAGCAATGGTTGTGGGTGCAGTAAAGGGTGATTTGAAAATATGGCTGAAAAAAAAAAAACATATCAATTTCACAGTGAGCAGGGGGAAGAGTTCTTTTTATTTAAAAAGCAACTGAAGCCTCATTTAGAGCTACACATTTTTTTTATTAGAAAAACAAGGCATTTTCAAACAGGAAAGCAAAACTGTGCTTAAAGACGAGAAAGGATGTAATCTCCACTCACTCTTATGTCCAACTCGAGGCAACTACAATGGTTAGAAGAGTGTCGGCTATGTTAAAATGCTGTTTGGTGATAATTTCAGTAAAATCTGAAAGTTGTTTTATGTTTCACAATTGATAATCTGTACAAACATGGTACATCATAGTGCATGCTTTGATAAAAATTGTTAGTGGCTAGTGAAAATATTGTAAAAATAATCATTTAAAAATGTAAATACTTGCAGAGATTTATAGAAATACAGTGTTGCATATTGATATTTCTGTTTCCTACCTTGTTAAATCATTGTTGACAACAATTGTGAGAAATCATTACCATAATCAGTGTCTTTACAATAATGAAAATCATTAATTATTATTAATAATAATATATAATTAAAAGTAAATTGAGCAGATTTGTTATTTGAGAAACTAGTTAGAATGTGGGAAATGTGGGAAATAATGTGGGAAACAATGTGGGAAACCCTTCAAATTTATCGGTACCCAAAAAGTAGCTCTCAGTTTCAAAAAGGTTGGCGACTCCTGAATTAGTTAAATAAAAGGACTTTTATTGATATTTTTTTTCTGGGTTTTTGGGTAGGTCATGTAAATTATAGTACAACAACCGAGTAATGAACTGCCAATACTTTACAAGTTTGTTTATTTATTGAGTTAGTTTTTATAGATGGTTTTATCATTAACAGCAATAAATAACAGCAATGAAGCATTTTTTCTTGATATTTTGTTATATTTGAAACAAAACAAGTGAAACTAGCATTTTAAGAGTTAAAGAGTTCAAAAGAAAAGCTTTGATACTTCAAAGGCTGCCGAGAGATTCACAAGACAGGCATGACTTTATCAGCAGAGCTGAAAGCCAACAGAACACCACACTGCTGTCATCAGAACAATGCACCATCTGAGGCTTATTAAACACATCCAGCCGACTAGACATCAGGAGTGTGTGAGCCTAAGCTGGCCTGCAAGTGTAACCGATAATGCAAGAGCTATTTCTGAATCCAGTGACTCAGTGCTATTCTGCCAGCCACCGACACTGTTTATATATGGCCGAATGAGCTCAGTTTCAGCATATAATGAGCAACACATCTTAAATAGTACATGCTGTCGAGATTATTATTATATATAATAATAATGTGACAGCTGGTGGTTCTCATAATTGACAAGCATGTGTTCTTCATGATTTGATAAGTTGTAGATTATGCCATGTGCTGTGTGTTGAGTATACAGTGTATATTATAATTCATATGAAGTGTATATAACATGGTTTACAGGTGTTGGAAATCCTTAAAAAGCTTGAATTTAAACCTGCTTTCAAGGTAGGTTTGAAAAGAATATTTAGATTTTGGATAAAGTGCTTGAAACTACTTGAAAATGTAATTGTGTTACTTTCATAATAATTTGTCATACTAAATAGGCAATAATAATTAACGCATTCATTTATTCATTTTTTTTTCTTCACCTTTGTGCCTTTATTTTTTAGGGGTTGCCACAGTAGAATGAACCACCAACTTATCTAGCATATGTTTTACACAGCGGATGCCCTTCCAGCTGTAACCCAGTACTGGGAAACACCCATTCATTCACTCATTCATTTTCCTTCGGTTTAGTCCCTTTATTCATAAGGGGTTGCCGCAGCAGAATGAACCGCCAACTTATCCTGCATATATTTTTACACAGCCCATGCCCTTCCAGCTGTACTGGACTCTGAGCCAGGACTCGAACCAGTGCTTACCATTGAGCCACTAATAATAATTATCTATTTAAATAAAATGCAATAAATTTAAAAATTTTCTTTTTACTTTTTTAAATAAATCTGTGCCCTTTAAAATAAAAATTAATATACTTTTAATACTAAAAATGACATATTCAAGATGGAAACAAATTTAGGAAAATAAATGACAGTAATTAAATGTTGAAATTAGGGCAAACATGCCATCATGCATTTTCCTTAAAATAACATCCCATATAATGTCAGTTATATGTCAGTATTTGTATGTAAATATGTAATTTGCCACACATTTAAGGGCATTAAAAAAAGTTGAAAATGCATTTGGAAAATGCTTGAAAAGTGCTTAAATTTGTCCTTTTGGAAAAATGTGTGAGTATTTAGTCATTTAGGCCAAATTGTGCAATGTCTGCACAACTAGTGGAGGAAAACAAAACTGCGATATTGAAAACCAACTGAAAATTAAGTTTTCTTTAAAAGGCACCTATTTTACCTCTTTTACAAGATTTAAGATAAGCCTTTGGTGTCTCCAGAATGTGTCTGTAAAGTTTCAGCTCAAAATACCAATTACATAATTTATCATAGCCTTCAGAATTTGCCAATTTTTATGTTTGAGTAAACTGTAGCCTGTGTCTATAAATCCAAAGATGTTGCTTTCCCACGTCAACTAATCCTACATGTCTGCTTCTCATCATGCGTTACATCAAATAAACAGCACAGAGACAGACTTGGATGAACCTGAAAAACAGCTCATTAGTCAATAATACCAATTTTATTTCATGTATTTATGGTGGAGTTTATTCAAGCCTTTCTGAAATGATGAGTCTCACACAAATACTGTTTGCAAAACACACACATATTAGCACTTAATGACACCATTTGGCCGTGGTGATTATATCGGTTAAGAATTATTTAGCGATTTTACTGTCTTTATTACAATTTATTTGCAAAAAAAAAAAGTTGTGTGGACGTGTGTACATCTAATTATAGAAACATGGCGTCTGTCAATCAATTCCGTGGGCAGAGAAAACCACACCTACATCACGTTGCAATGGACCTCAAAATCACTGGGATTTGGAAGTTTATGGAATTTTGAGTTATATTATATTCATTCATTCATTTTCTTTTCGGCTAAGTCCCTTTATTAATCTGGGGTCCCCACAGCGGAATGAACCGCCAACTTATCCAGCATATGTTTTACACAGAGGATGCCCCTCCAGCCGCAACCCTTCTCTGGGAAACATCCATACACACTCTTTCACACACACTCATACACTACGGTATATTTTAGCATACCCAATTTACCTGTACCACATGTCTCTGAACTTGTGGGGGAAACCAACGAGGAGAACATGCAAACTCCAATGCCTCATTGTTGTGAGGTGAACGTGCTACCCACTGCGTCACCTAGTCGTCCCCCAGTAATATCATTATTTTATTCATTTATTTTATTTATATAAGTGACAGTGACAGTTAATGGCTTTGAAAATAAAACGTGTTTCTTCATTAAGATTTGGTTGAATTGAATATTATTCCATGTGGTGCATGTGTCACAGCTTGTGTATACATACAGGCATAATCTGCTGGAGGTCGTCCAGGGTGAGGGTCGCCATGCCAACGGGGGTGTCGAGGTCACACGGCACAATGGGCGGGGTCAGCAGCTTCTTGTAGACACATGGGGGAAAGCGGATGTCCAGTGTGATGCTGTTGTACACAGCCAATCCCATAAGCTGACAGAGAGGGTTAAGTGTGTACAGCTAGAGATTCACAGACCTGACCTACACCTCTAATCTTCGGTTGAACTACATCTGAAAATAAAGGAAGCTTCTTGACAATATGATTTAACAGTCAGCAGGTCTGCATGATGGCAATACCATGACATCATGTCTAAAGATTTACAGCAAGATTAAGTGAGTTTTCATCATAACCACTGCACTGCCTTTTTTACGAGAACAAATCAAATATGCCTAAATAAATAAATGTGTATTATATGTATTATATACAGTATACAGTTGAGAGCAAAATTATTAGCTGTCCTGAACTATTGATTCCTTTCCAATTATTTCATAAGTGATTTTGGCTGGGATAATAAAAATTTGAAAAAATAATATTATTATTAGCCTCCTTAAGAATTGTTTTATTTTTTATTTTGACTGGCTACAGAGCATATTACTGTTGTCCTGTGACTTGCCGAATCAATCTAAATTCTATTGTTAACCTACATAATTTAGTGAAGACTCTAAATTGCACTTTAAGCAGATTATGAATATTATATTAATATTATGAATTATTATATTAAATTATTAATTATATTATTAGTATAATAATGTTTCTTCATTATATCAACAATCAAAATACAATTCAATCGGATTTTACTACTACTACTACTAAAACTATTATTACTAATAATAATGATAATAAAAAATAAAAATATAATAATAATAATAATAATAATAATAATAATAATAATAATAATAATAATAATACTAATAAAATAATTGTCACTGGATTCATTATATATAATTATATATTATTCAATTATATAAATTATTTATACAGTTGAAGTCAGAACTATTAAACCCCCTGAATTATTAGCCCCCCTGTTTTTCCCCAATTTCTGTTTAACTGAGAGAAGAACACATTTCTAAACATAATAGTTTTAATAATTCATTTCTAATAACTGATTTATTTTATCTTTGCCATGATGACAGTAAAAAATATTTTACTAGATATTTTTCAAAAAACTTCTAAACAGCTTAGTGACATTTAAAGTCTTAACTATGTTAATTAGGTTAACTTGGCAAGTTAGGATAGTTAGGCAAGTTATTGTATAACGATGGTTTGTTCTGTAGAATATTGAACAAAAAAAAAAAAAGCTTAAAGGGGTTAATAATGATTAATTGACCTTAAAATGTTTTTGAAAATTTTAAAAACTGCTTTCATTCTAGCCAGAATAAAACAAATAAGACTTTCTCCAGAAGCAAAAATATTATCAGACATACTGTGACAGTTTCCTTGTAAAACATTTTTGGGAAATATTTAAAAAAGAAAAAACAATTCAAAGGGGGGCTAATAATTCTGACTTCAACTGTAATTATATATTATATAATTACGTAAATTATATTTAATTAAAAACATAATATGTAAAATAATATAAACCAAACTGGTAAACTAAAAAAAATATATAGATCATGTGACACCTTAAGTATTCAAGGTTACTTTTGTTAGATAAATTAATTTTATTCATTTCCGTATGTTCCATTTATATTCTTTTTATATATGTTTACTTTTAAAGAAACTCAATGTTAATGTTATAAATGTATGTGCTTCTTGATATAATCACATTCTTAACTGTAGTTTCAATCGGTTGAAAGGTGGGAATGTGCCAGTTGCAGGAATAGTGTGCTGACAATGATTTGATTATATGATCAATAGGATTTTACCAAACAAACTGTTTAGACAAATGATTAAAGACAACGCATCATCATCTGTTTGTATGTCTGTATATAAACTGGCCTCAAAGGACTGCCCTTTGAGCAACCAGAATGGAACCTCTTGTGTTTCTTCTGTATTGTTCCCTTGCTGCAAAAACATTAAAATCTCTGAATCTTCCCAAGTCTTGAAATAATTTTTGATTCAATAAAAGACAACTTTAAATGATATATTGAAGTTACTTACTATTGTACAGTAGTGACTGATAGGCTTGGAAAATTCAGTTTGGTGCCACTAGAGGCACAGAAATCATACATCTTTAATATTTGCTAATAGCAGTTGATCTTCAAATATTCACTAACAACAACTACACCAGCACAGTAGGATGCATGAAAGAACCCACAACAGGTGTACAATACATTTAAATGAAAAGGTGAAGAGCCATGCACATAAGTGCTTTCAGCTGTAGCTGACAACTCAGCTCCATGTGCTTTCCATATGTGTAGCGAGGGCGATGGAAAAAAAGTCCTCAGCTCAAGAGAGAAAGAGAGAGAGAGAGGGGAGAGAGCAGACAGATGGGACAGTTTCCATGAGGACTGCAGCAATGAGACAACACAAACCGAGCCCTGGCTGTTCTTAACAAGACAAAACAAAAGAATCTTTATTTCATCATTTTTCACTGATGTGACACAGCAGTTCTGTGCGGCAGGAGTGAAAGAGAGAGAGTTTAGAGGCTGTGCGCTGAACTGGCAGCCACATGTATCAAGAAGCCCTAGCCACAGGGGTAACAACAGGACATGGCAGGCTTTGACTTCCACCGTGTCTTTCCCCACACGTACCATGAAGACCAGATCTCGACACGTGCCCATTCACATACCACATTATTTACAAAACCCTTTCACAACCATACCTATATCTCAGAATCTTTCTTTAGCAACACATTGCATTCTAACCCTATGTACTTGACATTTAGAAATCGCATGGCATAAATATAGCAGATGTTCCATTTTCTCAGCACAGATTGGTGGCAGAAAACACATTTCCCACCAGAAAACAGAAGGATGCGAATGAACTTCAGATGTGTGTGCCAAGTGAGAGCTGACTCTATATTTACGTGCTATTTTAAGTTCGTCACGCCCACATGTGACCACCTATACTGTATAAACTGCAGGAAAATGAAAGGATACGGCTCCAACCAATCGGAATTCAGAGTAGTTGTCACATTTCCAGCTGCTGAACCAATAACACTGAGACTCCTTCACATACGTGAACATGCCTGCAAATTGACACAAAGACACAGAAAATGACAATTAAAATTGTGTATCAACTAGGGCTGTGCAATATATCACAATAATCATGTCGATGGTCATCTTTGTATGTCTGCCTCTAGCACACCTTCTGAAAGACTTTTCAGAACATCAGGCATCATAATGTAATACAATACACATTTTATGTTTTTTATATTATAATTCATCAAAGTGTTCAAAAACTCTACTTGACAAGATGATGAACACAGCAAAAATATCTTAGTACAGTTAAAACTGAAATCCTCCATTTTAATCAATACTATTACAAATCGGCAGCTGCTGTGTTGGTATGAAATAAGAGAGAAAATTCAAGAAAAAAATTAAATAACTGCACACAAAATAATCATTTGAGTTTTAATATTTAACAAACAAAAAAATCATTTTCATTTAAAAATAGTTTTAATATTTTCTTTTAAAACCTTAACAATATTTTTATTTTGCTTATCCAAGGCCAGGTTGCAGGGCCAGCAGTCTCAGGAGGGAACTCCTCCAGACTTCCCTCTTCCCAGACACCTTCTCCAGCTCCTCAGAGGAAACCATAGGCATTCCTAGACCAGCCAAGAGACATAGTCCCTTCAGCGTGTCCTGGGTCTTCCCTGAGCCCTCCTCCCGATGGAAAATGTTTGGAAGACCTTCCAAGGCAGGCTTCCAGGAGGCATCCCAAACAGATGCCAGAGCCACCTCATCTGGCTTCTATCGATCTCTAGCGGCTCTACTACATGCTCCTTTTAGTGAAAGAACTCCTAACCCTATCTATAAGGGTGCGCCCTGCCACCCTGCGAAGAAAACTCATTTTAGCTGCTTGTATCCGAGATTATGTCCTTTCGATTATGACCCAAAGCTCATAGGTAAGAGTAGGAATGTAGATTTACCGGTAACTCAAGAGCTTTGCATTTGGCTCAGCTCCTTTACCAAGACGGACCGGTACATCAAACGCATTACTGCTGCTATTGCACCGATCCGCCTGTCAATCTCATGTTCCATCCTTCTCTCACTCGTGAACAAAACCCCTGAAGTAAGGACTTTACTCCAACCTGGAAAAGGCAAGCCACTTTTTTCTAGTGGAGCATCATGACTTAATACTTGAATAATACAGCTCATCCCAGCTGCATCACACTCTGCTTGTTGACGCAAATTTCTAATCAGCCAATCACATAGCAGCAACTCAATGCATTTAGGCATGTGTGGACATGGTCAAAATGATCTGCTCCAGTTCAAATATCCAGTGAGCGGCAGTTCTGTAGGCACAAATGCCTTGTTAATGCCAGAGGTCTAGACTAGTGCGAGCTGATAGAAAGGCAACAGTAACTCAAATAACAACTCGTTACAACCGAGGTATGCAGAAGAGCATGTCTGAACGCACACGTTCAACCTTGAGACGGATGGGCTACAGCAGCAGAAGACCACACCGAGCGCCACTCCTGTCAGCGAAGAACGGGAAACTAAGGCTACAATTCTCACAGGCTCACCAAAATTGGACAATAGAAGATTGGAAAAATGTTGCCTTGTCTAATGAGTCTCGATTTTTGCTGTGACACTCTGATGTAGGGTCAGTTTGGTGTCAACAACATGAAATCATGGAACAGTTCAGGCTGGTGGTGAGGATATGTACACTTTTCCGGTGATGAAATTTGCACACATGAACCATTGTATATGTAAAAAAGTTATAAGTTGATATTAAACTTTTCACCTCAATAAATGAATTATCTTTGTTATATGCTTACATATTTTATAGGGAAATAAAAGCAAACATAATTATACTTTTTTTGCAGTATATAACAGCTGCATAATGTCTTAATACTAGTGCTGACTGTCTTACCGTAGTCTGTGTGAAAAATCTGTCGAATCAGGAGAAGAAACCACTCTTTCGTGAGTCCACCCATGTCCAATCCTGCTTCTCCAACAAACGTCACTTTCAGTTTTTTCTTCAGGTCTGCTCGCTTTCTTGAAAGCTATTAAAAAAAAGGAACACGTTTATGGAGGGGCCATTTTTCCAAATTAAGTCTTAGCCAGACTTAGAACTTTCCAGAACATGATGTACACGCTTTTGGCTGAAAAGCCCCTCAGACTAGGAAAACAAAATGTAGATTTTTATAGCTACTTTATACAGAGCAATGCAGCTCATACAAACGTCCATCATTCTAGTAGGGCTGGGCGATAAGGCAAATAAATAAAAATCTAGATTTTTTCCTAAAGTTTGACCAATTCATGATTTGAATTTTTTAATGTGTAACTCATTACTATGAAGAGCCATGCATCTGCATGATGGAAGGTACTTTTTCTATTAACTTCCTTCACTTGCATGAGAGGTTAATAAAGCGCACCATCATGTAGTCAGACAATAGTTCCTTAATTAATATGTGATTGGTGCAATGACTATGGGCCCTATCATACACCCGGTGCAATATGGCGCAAGACATGTTTGGCAAGATTTGTTGCTATTTTCAGACAAGCACAACCGTAATTTTCACATTTTGCGCCACGTTGTTAAAAAAGCAAATGGCGCGTTGCTATTTTGAAAAACCGAAATAGACTGCTCCATTGACCATCTAAAACCTGGTCTAGCACAGAGCGCGTTAGTTATGCGCCAAAATGCTTACGCATTGCTTAATACACAAATATCTTTACATATAAAAATAATTAAATTGTTGCAAAAAATATAATTTTCTACATAAATATAAATACCACTGCCTCCATGTCTTCTTCATGAAGAGGGACTTTTTTTCAGTTTTTCATGACAATTTGCATTTGTATAATGGCATTATTATTAGCAGTACTATTTATTATATGCATATTTAAATTTAATTTGATTTAATAAAAACCCTTTTAGATTTGTCCACCTGTCGGGTTTTAAAGATGTATGCACCACCATATGGGGCATTTGAATAGGATGTGAGTTTGGATATAACTTTATGGTTTTTTGAGCACACTTCGTTATTATTGTTCATTTTTTAGTTTGCTGGAAATTAGAACTTAATTTAGAAATAGCTTTTAACAGATGACAAACAAAATTAAACATGTAGGCTAATGGATGTCTTTAGTGGAGTGCATACAACACCGTTTCCTTATCCACAAAAGTAAAGGAGTAAAGTACAGAGTTAAAGTAAAATAAAGAGAAAGCAAAGAGGTCGAATGGAGGATGCTAGTTTTTTCATTCTTGTGCTGCAGATGATCTGTTTAGCTGTTTTCTCTCTAGTGAAGCGTTCAGTTTTTCCACTAACAAAGTCCACCATGTAAATAACAAATATGCCATGGTGTGACACAACTGAGTCTTACTTAGTGATGTTATGCTCAAAACACACCCAGAACTCATTAAGAGAATAAGCACAACCCTGTTAGACCATGTGGCAGGGTGCAAAGCGCATTTTGCCATTCTTAAAATAGCAAAAGTGAATTCAGACACATCCATAATGCTTTTGCGCCATTCACTTTAGACTTTTTAACTAGAACGTTAAAATAGAGCCCAATGTATCTATTTTTTTTAAATAATCATTTCTCAATTTAAGAAAAATATAAACCATCTAAAAATGCAAATTTTAATTAAAATCTAAAAATCACCATTCTAGAGGGCTCAACAGTTTTCAGTGGTTCAAAGGAGCTCCTGGTAACATCTCCAGGAACAGATGCAAGTCAACGTTTACAGATCTGGATTGAGCAGTTTTATTACCTCATCCAGTGAGTCACTGACCAGCTGCAGACGCCTAACTTTAATGTTGAGAAATAGCAGGCTCATATCCACCCTCTGCCTGCGAGAGACCTTGTCCACCAGGGTTTGCTGCAATAGACACGAAAACCAATACATTTATCAGTCAATATTGGCCTGAAAAAAACAAGCTCTTAAAGAACATGGCCACAAATCTAACTTAATGCCCTATTTCCAAGCAACACATATTCTTAGACAAATGAAGTCTGTCTATCTGCGGTGTATGATGATATGATTCTCTAGCCACGTATCTGTTTATCCTACAGTCTGGACACATATGTTTGGGAAAGAGCCATAGGAATGGCCGATTATGCTGCCCCACCCATGCTAGGATTGTTATCAGAAAATTCTCTGAGCCTAGAAGACATATTCACCCAAATAGAGACTAGTTTCTTCTACATCTTAAGACAGTTTTGGCAATAGTGAGAGAGCATGTGTGTTCTCACCCTGGCCATGCTGATCATCTGCTGCTCTGAATCTCTCTGGATGATGGCTTTCTTCACCACTGTGGACAGGATGAAGGGGAACTGACAGAACGTGAACCTGAGAAAATAGAAGATAAGAAATAAATATGTGTGGAAAAAGTACACAAGATCGAGTCCAATATGATATATCAGTCTGATGATTAATCAGTTGATAAATAATAATGACGATAATAATAATAATAATAATAATAATAATAATAATAATTATATGTATAATTTATGCAATATCTTGTTTTTCAGAACATTTCTCGCAACAATCTCGTAGCAAGGTCATCTTAAAAGGCAAAAGGTAGAATAAGACTATGGGGTTCCTTTTACATAGTACATAACAAAGTGCTTTTATATTTCTATTTTCATTATTATTATTATTATTATTACTATTATTAAATATTATTGTTGTTGTTATTATTATTATTAGGGTGTTATTTTTATAATATTATTATAGTTAAGTTTTTATAATATTTTACAAAAGAATCTCTTATACTCAGCCAGGCTGCGTTGAACATTGATATGGTCAAAATGAAATTACAAATTTAAACTTCCTTTTTCTTGTTGAATGCATTTAAACATATTTATTTATTGATTTACAGGCAAAGCTGGATTTTCAACAGCAATTAGTCTAGTCTTCAGTGTCACATCATCCTTCACAAATGGTTTTTAGCTAAATAAATTCCATCTTATTGCCAATGCTATAACAGTTCTATTCAGGGCTTGACATTAACTTTTTTGATCACCAGCCTCTGTGGCTAGTAGATTTCCAATATTACAAGCCACTCACCATTTTCACTAGCCACCCTTTTTTGTTGGGAAAATATATTTTATATGCATTAATTTGAATTTGGCATGCTAAATATACTTGATTTGGATTTTGTGTTATGTCCACAAGCCTCCTCGTTCATTTCACTTTTTGTGTGTGTTGTGTATGAGCTTGCTCAGCGTACATGAGCAAATGTGTTGTTAATTCATTTTTTTATTTCACATGACTTTTCAGGGCTCAAAATGAAGGATTTACCAAATGTATCTCTGACCCCACCAAAAACAAATGATTAATTCTTAGCCACAAATTTTAAGTGTGTCAATACAAGCAAAACATAGCTTATCATAGCTGTAAACATGCACTTTTTAATTCAACAAAACTTTTCTTGGAAAAAATGTTGACAAAAAGAACTGTTGTCATGTGCAGTATACAAAATAAGCTAAGTAATCTGTCCTGGCTAAACATCCCAGATCAACTAGACATAAAAAAGGAGTTAATTTCATATTAAAGCAATGTTTAAAAAAAAAAAAAAAAAAAAGATAATTAAACAATATTACAAATATAACTATAAGCAAACGAAAGCAGGTAAAAAACACTGTGAGTGATAATGAAAGAATAATTAAAGCAAAAGCAGTAACCGCTGCTGCTTACAAAAAGATATACAGTTGAAGTCAGAATTATTAGCCCCCCTGAATTATTAGAACCCCTGTTTATTTTTTTCCACAATTTCTGTTTAACTGAGAGAAGATTTTTTCAACACATTTCTAAACATAACAGTTTTAATAACTCATTTCTAACAACTGATTTATTTCATCTTTGCCATGATGACAGTAAATATTATTTTACTAGATATTTTTCAACACATTTCTATACAGCTTAAAGGGACATTTAAAGGCTTAACTAGGTTAATTAGGTAAACTGGGCAGGTTTGGGTTATTAGGGAAGTTATTGTATAACGATGGTTTTCTGTAGACTATCAGAAATAATTGCTTAAGGGGGCAAATAATTCTGACCTTAATTTCTTTTTCATTTAAAAACTGCTTTTATTCTAGCCAAAGTAAAACAAATAAGACTTTGTTATGCTTTTTTTAGTTCACACGAATACGCTTACTTTTGTCCGTCATGCTGCTTCGATTCTAAGATGCCATTTGCACAAACATTGAGCCATTTTTATTGTCGAACTCTGCTTTTAAGAAAACTAAAATTTAAAAATGATTTACAACCAGCCAAAGTGGCTAGTGGGAGTGTTTGTCTAACCCTCCACAGCTGAAATCTACCTGCATTTGGCGGGCTGGCGGGTGTTACGCCCCATTCACACGAGGCGTCAGCGTCAACGCTTCCCATTCACTTGGATATGATGATCGCTTCAGCCCCAACTTCAGACACACCCTCTGTCAAGCGTTGACGTTGAGGCCCCGTGTGAATCAGGCATTAATGTCAAACCCTTGTTTAATTGTAAACAATTTTGTAGAAAAAAATCAGGATTCAGGTTTTAAAGGTAAAAAGAAGAGGATTTATTTGAAATTAATTTAAAATAAGATATTTATAAAGCACAAAAATTGGCTTTTGGTCACTTTTGATTGATTTACAAAAAATGATTACTGATCTCAAAATAAATGATAATGTAATTCAATGATGTTTAATGTACAGATCTTACAACTTTTTTCCCATCAATGAAATATTTATGTTTACTTTTGCTTAAAATGAGTATGTCATTCAAAATTTTAATTCATTTGGGAAAAATAAATGCTGGAGTAAAAAAAAAATATATAGAGTTAATATTCTGTACAAATTTGACTTATTTGTACTTGACTTAATATACATACGTATATATTTTGTTTTATGCATGTCTTACTAAACAGCAAGGCAAAAATAAAATTTTTTTGGATTGTCTGAACTGAAATTTCTGCTGACAGACCTGTTTGAATTTCCATGAACCTGCCACGTGTGGTAATCCTCCATAAAGTCTATGTGGTCCAATGTTAGGTTGTAGAAATCAGTGAAAGGGATGATAGGGGCAGATGAAATGCTGTTTGCAGCATCTGTTAAAAGAACACCAATGTTAAAATCTCTTTTTTCTCTCAATACATTATGAAAAAGCACATTGTCTTTTTCTAAGCCCTTTCTAGTGTTCAGCACAGTAGTACTCACTAAGAAGGGAGAGGACTTTAGTGGCCGAGGGAATCCACCAAGAGCATTTGGCCATGGGCGGCAACTCCTCTGGTTTGGCAGGAAATAGGCGGGTGGTGATGAAGAGCTGCAAGCGCTCCACCAGCTGCTTGAAACGCTTCTGAGGCAGCCTGGAAGATGAAACATATTGTGAGCAGAAAGATATGATCCATACACACTTATATTTCACTGTCAGATTTTGTAAAGTCTTATCGGTGGACAGTTCGGCTGCTACTGTAAAAAAGTATGCTTTTATATACAGTTTAAGAAGTTTCTCCTGTGAAATTTTCCCAAGTGCTGTTTAACAGTGCAAAGACATTTTCTCAGTATTTATTTGAATATTTCAAATTTCCATTTCAAAGACTGGCAATTTATAGGAGGGCCGTTTTAACATTCTAGCACAAGAAAAAAGTGGAAACCCTGATATATTTGATGCATTTTAGGACTTCAGACATGACATTTATATTTCAAGCATTACGTGCTATACAAAACTGTACGTTTATCCTTTCACACATCAGCTGCTGAAATATTTCTGTGGTTGTTGTGTGTAGAGCCAAGCGTGCGTACATCCACACCGTATATGCAATCAAAACTCTAGCTTTTTGTCTATTCTTGTGCAAATTGAAGGGGGAGTTAACTTGCACTAAAACATACTACAAAAAATAGGCATAATAATTATTGTTCTGTGCCAGCTAATTGTTTTGTGCGTAAGTAGCAAAAGAACAGCAAAAAGCAGTTTGGTTAACTTAAGTAACTTCACTGGCAATTGTTCTTCTCAATATCCTTCTTTTTTATAAAACTACAACTAAGAGGAGACAAGTATGTGCATATTCACATATACTTTAAAACGTTCAATTCAACTAGCAGTAGAGTTTTACTAATGTACATAGTTTTTATGCAAATCTTAATAAGCATATGAGGTAAATCTATTAAATGAGACAATTTAAATCGAATGTTAGTGAAATTACCATATTTGTTACACCACCAGCATAACATGTAAGCCATGAAGAAATGTTTGTACAACAAAATACAGGCAGTATAAAACTAATAATAATCAAACTGATAATAATCAAAAAATAAATATCAAACAAATATTTACAAAAAAACAGAGCTGCACCAAAAATAGAGCAATTACGAACATATATTTTAACGTTTAAATCAGCCACAGAATTAAAACACATATGTGTTACGCTCGATCGTTCAGTGAGAGAAAATGAAAGTAAAACTAATCTGAATGCAGTACTTTAAATGTTGACTAGGTGGTGAGTCAAAACCACAAGTGGCTAGACGTAAATGCAAAACAATAATAGTGGTTAAAATAAAATGTTTTGGCAGACCTATTCTCGTTATATTTTTGATGTCAGTTGAGAGCCGGAGGGAGGAGGGCGTGCCGCAAATGCAACACGGCAATTTGAGACCCCTGTTCTAGAAAACCTTATTTCTTTTAGTTTGGCTGGAATAAAAGTGGCCCCCTTTATTTTTCTTTACTGGCTATTGGATAAAATAAACCACTGTTATCCAATGATTTGCCTAATTAACTTAACTTGCTAAGTTCATTCAATCATTTCTTTTTGGCTTAGTCCATTTATTAATCAGGGGTCGCCATAGCAGAATGAACCACCAACTTATCCAGCATTTGTTTTACGCAGCAGATGCCCTTCCAGCTGCAACCCATCACTGGAAAACACCTACACACTCTTACATTCACACACATACACTATGGACAATTTAGCCTATCCAATTGACCTATAGTACATCTTTGGACTGTTGGAGCTGGACCATCCAGAGGAAACCCACGCAAACACGAGGAGAACATGCAATCGCCACAAAGAAATGCCAACTGACCCAGCAGAGCTCAAACCAGTTACCTTCTTGCTATGGGGCGATTGTGCTACCCACTGCGCCACTGGGATGCCCTATTTGCTAAGATAACCTAATTAATGCTTTAAATTGCACTTTAAGCTGTATCTGGCAAAATAACTAGCAAAATATATGTACTGTCATCATGGCAAAAATTCATTCATCGATTCATTCATTAACTTTCCTTCGGCTTAGTCCCTTTAATCAATCAGGGTTTGCCACAGCGAAATGAATCACCAACTTACCCAGCATATGTTTTACACAGCGGATGCCCTTCCAGCTGCAACCCAGAACTGGGAACAATTCATACACACAAATACATACACTATGGCCAATTTGGTTTATTCAATTAACCAATATCGCATGTCTTGGGACTGGGGGGAAAACCGGAATACGGGGAGAAGATTGTGGCAAAAATAAAAGAAAATATTTATTAAAAATGAATTATTTAAACTATTATGTTTAAAAATGTTTTGTAAAAACTCTCTATTAAAAACCACTTAAGCACTAAAAGCACACCGGAGGGTTGATAAGTTTTAAAATGCTTCAAAAACACATTAAAAACCTAAATATATACTTTAAAAAGCCAAAGAGTTAATTTATTTATGTATAAAAAATTACAACAATCATAAAAATAACTGACTTTAATTTTTTGTATTTTAATCAAGTCAAACAATTTTAACATAAATGATTATTTAAAGAATGCCATATAAACAAAAATGTGCATAATGATTAATACAATTTTAAAAAGGTTTATACCAAGCCTTTTCTAAATTGACGGCAACACTTTACAATAAGGTTCATTAGTTAATGCATTTACTAACATAAATGCATAATTTATAATTTATTAATAAAACATAATTTATTAATTATAATTGAACATTTACTAAAGCATTATTAACATCCAAGTCCATGCTTGTTGACATTAGTTAATTCATTGTGAGTTAACATGAACTAACAATGAACAACTGTATTTTCATTAACTAATGTTAAATAACATGAACAAATACTGTAGTAAATGTATTGTTCATTGTTTGTTCATGTTAGTAAATGCATTAATTAACATTAACTAATGAACCTTATTGTAAAGTGTGACCAAGTTGAAAGTCTACTAATTGTCCAGTGACCAACATTTGATAAAGATATTAAAAAAAAAGCAAAACCGAAGGATTACAAGAGAGCTTACCAATCTCTTGTACTGACTGACTGCTTTAAACTCACTTTTTAAACCAGTGCATCAGGAAATGGTGGTCCGCTTCAGCCAGGGCTGCTATTTGCCTCAGTAAGTGTGCATAGATGACATATGTGGCAGGGCTGGTGTACTGAGGGTTCTGCGACACAGAGAAGCATTTCAGCAAACTTCAAGAAAGGAAATATAACTTTTCGTTTAGCAGCAGAGAAAGAAGTCTGGCTTTTAATAAGAAATGGCATTGCAGCGGAAACCAGCTCTTTTCCTCTCCAGCATGACCTCATCCCTTCCTTAGGCACGGCGAACGCAAATAATACAGAGCCTGCCTGACATTAGTGGCAGACAGATCAGCCCAATAATTGCTTCTGCTTTTCAATTTCGCCATATCCTCCGGAGAAATGTAGGTCAGGGAGCCCATCAACAGTCTAACAATATATGCACATTCTGGAGAAGGCTGACATCTGTACATGATTCTGTTTATAAAAACGTTTAATTCCCACCACCGCTGATCCCCATCAAATGGAAAGGAGGGAAAAAAATGTTTCATTAAACTGAAAACCCAAAAATGAACCAAATCCCAGCTAACCAAGCCTTGGTCTCTCATTCTGCCCACGGCTTCCCAGGCTAAATCCAGTGGCTGTGTCCTTATTTGGACAGTCCCAGGCCAGTCTGCGCTGGTCATGTGTGAAGTAAACACTTAGCTCATGATCTGTCTGCACCAGAGCAGAGCTATGGCTGGAGTCAATGGGCCATGTGGTGAGAGAGGAGATCAAGAGTTTCCTGCAATTCCGATTCGCCTTTTATTCGCCTGGGGTGTTTTAACGTGGCTGCCAACACAAAGGGCAACTCAAAGACAGATTAAAGCAATTTTGCTGTGTAAGTGCACATCTATAGGATCGCACACAGATAACTGCTTTGGTTTGCAGAGAGAAATTTTGGCAAAGTATCAGATGTCATTAGTTTCTGTGAAATTAAAGGGGGTAGTTCATTCAAAAATGAAAATTCTGTCGTTGTTTACTTGCTCTTCACTTGTTCCAAAACCATCTCAGTTACTTTATTTTGTTAAACAAAAGTAAGATATTGTAAAGAAAGCTGCAACCTGCAACCATTGACTTCCATAATATTTGTTCCCCTTCGGTTGGGGAACTTCAGTGCCATGAATGGGAGGATTCGGATCAGAAGCCGCTTATCTGGAGAGTATTGAACGGGCCAATGAATGAAATTAATTGGCAGCGTAAGCTTGCGCAGGTGTGCGACATCTGCAATTATCTCAGCATATAAGCACACCTGAAGCCAGCAGACGCCATCCTTTTCGCTTCAGATCCTTTCTGAGTGAGTCGATGAGGGTTCCTCTTGCTGATCAGCACTTCAGAGCGAACGAGTGTGTCTCCCGGTCCAGAGTGGGTCTTTGCGGTGGCAGACGGTCGAGCAGGGTTACTCCCTTGCCTGCGGTTCTTTGGGTCCGGTCCTCCAGAGCGGTGCGTATAGTTGCAACTTTCCTAAAAGAGCAACACAGTCGTGCAGCACGTCCTTTTCAGGATGGCGCTCCGACTGTGCGTTTCTGGATGCGGGGGTTTCCTGTCTCCGGATGATGGACACGATCACTGCATTGCATGTTTGGGGGTCCAGCATGTTAATGCGGTGCTCGCGGGCGGTTCATGTCGTCATTGCGATGCCATGACCGTTGCACAGCTAAGATCGCGGCTAACTTTCGCAAGAGAGCGAGCCACCCCAGTTGCCTCCTGTTCTAAAAAAGCAGCGGGCGCTCGGGCAGATCTGAGGGTTTCAGCAGGAGCTAATCCGCCGCCCACGGGCTCGCGGACCTCTCGCTCCTCACGGCGCTCCATCCAAGCTTCGGGTGGTGAGAGTGATCCGTCTAACCAGATGATAGCTCTCACACTCGCTGACACCGGAGATCAGATGTCCTCCGCGGCATCGGAGGGTGGGCTTTCACTGTCCGACGAAGATCCGGACCCGCTCGCCCCCTCCGGGCAGGTGAGCGCTGTCAAATCGGATCCTGAAGCGGACATGTTAGCCGTGCTTTCCCGGGCTGCTTCGGCCGTGGGGTTGGAGATGGTTTATCCCCCAGCTCCGCGGCCGGACCGACTAGATGGGTGCTACGTAGAGGACCAGAAGGCGAAGCCTTCGAAGCCTCTCGTCCCCTTCTTCCCGGAAGTGCACAGTAGGCTCACGCAGTCCTGGAGGGCACCTTTCTCTGCCCGTGCTGCGAGTGCCTCCGCCCTCACCGCCCTTGACGGCGGAGCTGCCAGGGGGTATGAGGCGATCCCGTCAGTGGAGCGCGCTATCGCGGTCAATCTTTGTCCGCGCGGCGCCTCTACGTGGCGGGGTTTGCCCCGCCTCCCGTCCAAAGCCTGTAGGTTGTCTGCCTCCCTCGGAGCCAGAGCTTATAAGGCTGCGGGCCAGGCTGCTTCTGCTTTGCACGCGATGGCCACCTACCAGCGCTACCAAGCGCAGGCGCTGGCCGAGCTGCACGAGGGCGGGTCCAACCCAAGCTTATTACATGAGCTGCGCACCGCGACCGACTATGCTCTTCGGACTACTAAGTCCGCCGCGTGTGCGCTGGGGAGGACGATGTCCACACTTGTGGTTCAGGAACGCCACCTCTGGCTAAACCTGGCCGATATGCGCGACGTTGACAAAGTTCGCTTTCTTGACTCGCCCATATCCCAGGCTGGCCTGTTCGGCGACACCGTCGGTGAATTCACCCAGGAATTCAAGGCGGTGAAAGAGCAGTCGGATGCGATGGGCAATGTCATCTATCGGCGTGGCCGTAAGCCCGCTCCGCCCGCCGAGCCATCCACCTCCGCTGTTCCTCGCCGAGGGCGCCCGCCAACGAGTGCTGCCCCGCCCCCGCCTGCGCCTCCGGCCAAGCGGGCGCGGCGTTCACCTCGAAAGCAGGCAGCCCCTCCTGCCCAGGGCGCCGTTAAGTCCGGTAAACGGACCGCGAAGCGTCCCTGAGACAGACCATCCGGAGAAGAGGAAACTTGCTCTTTCCCCGCTGGAGGGCGGGGCCCCGATAACAACGGTACTTTTCAGTGCCACCAAAACATCAGTAAAAGAGCACTTTTTCCCTTCCCCGGATGTGACTGCACGAGTTCTGCCAGTCCGGGACGCGCTGCCTTCCGGCTCGCAGACTCTACGTGCTTCGCCAGTGGCTCACGAGCGCTGGGGGGACGGTCTCCCTTCCCTCAGCCCTCCAGCCCCCTCTCCGGAGTCAGGGTGCGGAGCCAGAGCGAATCGCTCTCCTCCAGCTTTTCCGCGGGACCCTCGTGCTTCCCGGATCAGCACACCCACTCCGCGCTGCCCCACCGCTGGTACGTCAGCGATTGTAGCGATGACTCCATTAGCGAGGGCTCTGCCTGCCTGGTTAGCGCGGGCCAGCCCCTCGCGGTGGCTCATACGCACAATCAGACTCGGTTACGCGATTCAGTTCACGAAACGGCCCCCCAAGTTTACGGGCGTGTATTTCTCCAGGGTCAACCCCCTGTCCGCCCCTGTCTTGCGAGAGGAGATTGCTGCCCTCCTGGCGAAGGGTGCAATCGAGCCGGTTCCTCCAGCCGAGATGGAGAGTGGGTTTTACAGCCCATACTTCATCGTACCCAAAAAGAGCGGTGGGTCACGGCCAATCCTAGATCTGCGCGTTTTGAACCGCTGTCTGCACAAGCTGCCGTTCAGAATGCTCACGCAGAGGCGCATTCTCCAATGCGTTCGTCCTCGGGATTGGTTTGCAGCCATAGACCTGAAGGACGCGTATTTCCATGTCTCCATTCTTCCACGCCACCGCCAATTTCTGCGGTTTGCGTTCGAGGGTCGAGCGTGGCAGTACAAGGTCCTCCCCTTCGGGCTCTCTCTGTCTCCGCGGGTCTTCACCAAACTCGCGGAGGGTGCCCTAGCGCCCCTTCGGCTCGCGGGCATTCGCATACTCAGTTATCTCGACGACTGGCTGATTTAGCCCACTCGCGGGAGCAATTGATTATGCACAGGGACGAGGTGCTTCGGCATCTCCGCCTACTGGGGCTTCAGGTCAACCGAGAAAAGAGCAAACTCGCCCCCGTGCAGAGGATTTCTTTTCTCGGGATGGAGCTGGACTCGATCACCATGGTAGCGCACCTCTCCGAGGAACGCGCTCGCCTGTTGCTGAACTGTCTGAGGGAGCTCGACAGCAAACTAGTGGTCCCACTGAAGTTCTTTCAGAGGCTCCTGGGGCATATGGCATCCGCAGCCGCCGTCACGCCGCTCGGGTTGCTCCATATGAGACCACTTCAGCACTGGCTTCACGATCGGGTCCCCAGACGCGCATGGCACGCGGGCACACACCGGGTCTCGGTTACTGCGCTGTGTCGCCGCGCCCTCAGCCCTTGGAACGACCCCTCGTTCCTACAGGCCGGTGTGCCTCTAGGACAGGCGTCCAGCCATGTTGTTGTTTCAACAGACGCTTCCAACACGGGTTGGGGGGCCGTGTGTCGCGGGCATGCGGCTGCGGGCCTCTGGAAGGGTGCCCATCTGCATTGGCATATCAATCGCCTAGAGCTGTTGGCAGTGTTCCTCGCTCTCCACCGCTTTTTACCGGTGCTGGAGCGGCAACACGTGCTGGTCAGGACGGACAGTACGGCGGCGGCGGCGTATATCAACCGCATGGGGGGTATGCGCTCTCGCCGCATGTCTCAGCTCGCCCGCCGTCTGCTCCTCTGGAGTCACCCGCGGCTGAAATCGCTGCGCGCCATTCACGTCCCAGGCACGCTCAATCGTGCAGCCGATGCGCTCTCACGACAGCTGTTACGCCCTGGAGAATGGAGACTCCACCCCGAGTCTGTTCAGCTGATATGGGCGCGATTCGGGGAGGCCCAGATCGATCTGTTTGCTTCCCCCGAGAACGCTCACTGCCAGTTGTTTTTTTCCCTGACCGAGGGCTCTCTCGGCACGGATGCACTGGCCCACAGCTGGCCTCGGGGCATGCGCAAGTATGCGTTTCCCCCAGTGAGCCTGCTCGCGCAGTTTCTGTGCAAGGTCAGGGAGGACGAGGAACAGGTTCTGCTAGTTGCGCCCCTTTGGCCCAACCGGACCTGGATATCAGAGCTCTCACTCCTCGCGACGGCCCTCCCCTGGCGGATCCCTTTGAGAGAGGACCTACTCTCTCAGGGACAGGGCACCATCTGGCACCCTCGCCCCGATCTTTGGAACCTCCACGTGTGGTCCCTAGACGCGAGGAAGACTTAGGTAACCTACCGACTGCGGTGGTTAATACCATCACTCAGGCTAGAGCCCCCTCCACGAGGCGCGCCTACGCCCTGAAGTGGAGTCTATTCACTGAATGGTGCGTCTCTCGCAGAGAAGACCCCCGAAATTGCCAGATTAGTGTTGTGCTCTCTTTCCTTCAAGAGAAGTTGGACAGCAGGCTGTCGCCCTCCACTCTCAAGGTTTACGTGGCCGCCATCTCCGCTTATCATAGCGCGGTAGCTGGCGGCACCGTGGGAAAGCATAACCTGGTCATCCAGTTCCTTAGGGGTGCTAGGCGAATTAATCCATCTCGCCCCCCTCTCATGCCCTCTTGGGATCTCGCCCTCGTTCTCACGAGTCTGCGATCCGATCCCTTTGAGCCACTCGAATCAGTATCTCTAAGATTTCTGTCCCTGAAGACAGCTCTGCTGGTTGCGTTGGCCTCCATCAAGAGGGTCGGGGACCTGGAGGCATTTTCGGTCAGTGACTCGTGCCTGGAATTCGGGCCGGATTACTCTCACGTTATCCTGAGACCCCGCCCCGGTTATGTGCCAAAGGTTCCTACCACCCCCTTTAGAGATCAGGTAGTGAACCTGCAAGCGCTGCCCCCGGAGGAGGCAGACCCAGCCCTTTCTTTACTTTGTCCAGTTCGCGCTCTGCGCATTTATGTGGACCGTACTCAGAATTTTAGATCATCTGAGCAGCTCTTTGTCTGTTATGGCGGTCGGCAGCAGGGAAGTGCCGTATCGAAACAAAGATTATCCCACTGGATTGTGGATGCCATTTCACTCGCTTATTCGAGTCGAGGTCAGCCGTGTCCCCCGGGAGTACTTTCACACTCCACTCGGAGCGTTGCATCCTCTTGGGCGCGTGCACGCGGCGCCTCTCTAACAGACATCTGTAGAGCTGCGGGCTGGGCGACACCCAACACATTTGCAAGGTTTTACAATCTGCGAGTGGAGCCGGTTTCCTCAAGGGTATTAGGTAACCCTTTGGTGATTGAGGAGACAACTCGGTAGGGTGTTGAAACATGCTTGCGGCGCCATTCTCCCTAAACACGGAGGTACGTGCGCCTTTTTTATCTGTCAGTAAAGTTCCCCGTCAGGTGAGCCCTGCAGATTCCTCCGTGGCCCCCAGCACTGACTCAGCGGAGGAGTCACTTGCTGGCCCACTACGTTGTAGGTCTGCCCGCTGGTCAGCCCGCGTTTTGGGTATAGGTGCCTGCTATGCGTGATCCCCACTAGGCGATCCCATATGCTTATTCCGCCACGGTTAAGTCCCCCCCCTGGGCGGACCCGTGTCTTCCCTCTCCGCTAACCACTCTTTTGCTATGCGTACTCCCCCTTTTTAGGGCTAGTCCATAGGTAAATTCTGCCATCTATCCCCCCCTTGGGTAACGGATGGCCTCCGCAGCGTCCTCCCTATCGGGATTGCACGCTTCCCAACGTACTGTCGTATTTCCTAGAATTATCTAGATGCTCACGACTTCCCAAAAAATATATCTAAATCCGTAAAACTTCTGTTGAAGTAGGATAAATTAGGGCCAGGGACACGTTGGAGGACCGCGCCCCCCATGATGTGGGTGCGTCACGCTTGCTTGACTATCTCCTCATCGGGGGTGTTGGTAAGGTGCAGTCATTATGGCGCTTTCCATATTCTCCCATTCATGGCACTGAAGTTCCCCAACCGAAGGGGAACGTTCGAGGTTACAGAAGTAACCCTTCGTTCCCCGAGGAGGGGAACGGAAGTGCCATATTCCGTCGCCATAATGACTGTCCCTTAGCTGTTTGAAAGTCTCTTCAGCTTAAAAGGATGGCGTCTGCTGGCTTCAGGTGTGCTTATATGCTGAGATAATTGCAGATGTCGCACACCTGCGCAAGCTTACGCTGCCAATTAATTTCATTCATTGGCCCGTTCAATACTCTCCAGATAAGCGGCTTCTGATCCGAATCCTCCCATTCATGGCACTTCCGTTCCCCTCCTCGGGGAACGAAGGGTTACTTCTGTAACCTCGAACGTTTTTCCTACTATGGATGTCAATGGGAACAGGTTTTCAACCTTCTTTAAAAATATTCCTTTGTGTTCAACAAAATGAAGAGACCAATTGAGGGGAAGTAAATAAATTTTTGGTGTGAACTATACCTAAATGCAGTTTTGGATTAAGGGTGCCTTCACATTTGTAGTTAGTTTCCTTTGGTCTGGACTAAGGTGAAAAATTATACATTGTACTGTAGCATTTTTCAGCCATTTTGGCTCTGTTTAAAACCTAGACGGACTTCTCTGAACTGAACGATAAAGCAGTCATGTGACAACATCCACAAATGTCAATGGTTAGATGAATTTCCTGAACTGCTTTTTGATTGGTCAGAATTAAGCTGCGTTTACACTACAAGTGACTTGTAGCAGCAAAGCGTCAGACGACCATTCCTTTCAACGGAGAGTGAGCGACTTCTGGCGATCTCCATCTACGCGAGTGACAGTGATCATTGGCGACAAGGTGGGCATGTCGAGCAATGCAACAAAGTTGAGAATCCTTCAACTTTATGCAAATGAGGAGTGACTTTGTTGAGCGACAGCCAATAGGAGCAGCAGTAGAGTTCACGTGATCCTCACTAATCAAGCATTTTATGTACTGATTCCATTTATATTTAGTGTTTTTTTTTTCAACAGGGTTTAATTAAAGTCTCAACTAAGTTCCCTTGGTTGGGACTTGTGGAGCTGACTTACAGCAGTGAAATTTAAACCACACTGAACTAAACTGAACTATGTTTATGTTAAACTGCTTTGACACAATCCACGTTGTAAAAACACTATAGAAATAAACATGAATTGAACTTCAGCAGCACGTAAACCCATTCGCTCTCTGTGAATTTCACTATAAATGTTACCTGAGCAACCTCAAGGTGGGAACGCCCACAACGGGTTCAATCTCCACCCATAGCAACAGGCAACTACAAAGTCACTGCTAGTGTGAATGAGGCATTAGTGTGCATAACACACGCAAGTAAACAAAGTGGGGAGGAAAAGTCAGCAGGCAGAATGGACCTCCTCACAACTCCTGGTTTGTCCGCGACCTGCAATAATTTCGGTAAAGTGTCAGTAAACTTTTTTCTCATACCAGAATGCACATCACAGCTGACTAGAGCAGCAGGTTGGTCCAAAAAAGCAAAGTATTTTTGCATATGAATCAGTTTGAGGTCAGTTCACGTTCTCACCACAAACTAACCACTTCAGTGTTGGTTTGAAAGCATACCGAAGCCACCTATTTGAGCAGGTCTTGGTATGATTGTTTGGTCGGCTTTCGGTGCACACCTGAGTATGATTGCCACCTTCACAACTGCACAAATGAATGGCACCAAAATGGCAAACAAACTCTGGTACGTTTTAACCAAACTAAATGGGACAGGTGTAAAAGCACCCTTAATGGCACAGGTTTAATCACCAGAAAGATGAGATCAGCAGTATAATTAAAAAATAACAAAAACTTAACTAGATTTTTCTGTAGATGAGCTGTTCATAAAATTATTATTATTATTTTTAAAAGAACCAAAACTCTGCATCTTTACATTTGTTAATCGTATTCACAAGCTTTACAGGCAAGCGAGCTAAAGCGATAATCAGACACATGCTCTTCTCGTTTCATTCTCTTAAAGGAAAAGATCACCAAAACTGAAAATCATGTCATTATTTGCTTGACCTTGACTTGTTTCAAACCGTTATGATTTTCTTTCTTCTATTGAACACAAAAGAAGATATTTCGAAGAAAGTTGAAAACCTGTAACCATTGATTAGCTTAGTAGGAGAAACTAATTTTATGGAAAACAATAGCTACAGTTTTCCAACTTTTTTCAAAATAACTACCTTTGTGTTCAACAGAAAAAAGAAACTCAAACAAGTTTGTGCCACGTGAACGGTGAGTAAATGATGATATTCAGTTTTGGATGAACTATACCTCTAACAATAGAAATAAATCAATCAATAAATAAATTACCTGCACAAGAACAAAATATGCTCTAAGGTCATCCTTTGTCCGAGGCCTAAAAACACAGAAACAAAGCTGACAGTGATATGGTTTTAATCACAATTTTCAATTTCATCTACTTTTTTAATGCTTCAGTGAGAGAATACAATGCACTACTCACCCTTTCCATTCTCTTAATAAGCTATTAATAATTCCCTTCAGGACTGACTTCTGTGTGTCCGCAGGCTGCAAATTAGCCAGATTAAACCAATTTTGTTAAAGCCAAATTCAAAACAACAGAGAGAACACAATGGATAACTGTGTAAATGAACTTTAAGAGAACTTCAACACAGATCATACAGTGTAAAATTTTGTTTACGTACCGTATGGAGTAAAGCATCATAAACAATATTGACAAATTTGATGTTTATTCCTGAGTCTTCAATAGTGTTGAAGGGAGCATTTGCTTCTTTCTGAGGACAACATTACAACATAACATTAAGCGTACTTGCATGGTGCATTTTATATATACTTCCCATATAAAATGGATAGTAAAACATTCACCTCATATAAGAATAAAATTTTTTTTTAAAGAAACCATAAGCAGATGTTGCTTTTTACTCCCTGAATGAGCTCATTGATTCATTTGGAGAGCAAAATGTTCAGTATTACTCCTTTCCTGACTTTCACAGTTACTTTTCCACTGACTTTCAAGAGTTCCAGAAAACACTGGCTGCACTTAAAAGGATGTTTCATTCATAAAATGGCTGTTGTTCTAATGTATAAATAAAAACATGTTTACACAAGTCAAACGTATGCTACTATTAATTGCCCACCTACTCAAATCATTTTTAAAAAGCTGTTTACAATTAATGTTGGGAAATTAACACACACCAAATAAACTCATGATGTACAGTGTGCTGTGGTTAATTTGGATATTTTGGCTAAGCAAGTTTATACTCAATAAACAATTTGAAAACAATAAACAGCAATAAAATAAAGCACTCAAAACATAACCAACACACCATATCGTGAGCTTCAACACACCTTAAAGGCACCGTTGAGTTCCAAAAAAGAGTCAAACGTGGTCAAGTAGAAATCATGGACGTGCTTCCAATCCCCTGAGATAGTTGCCCGTTCGACATCGTCCCTACATCCGGATAAAGACACAGTTAAACATCCAGGAGCAGGGAATATCGCAGGATGACGGAGGTAAAGAGAAGGACGTACTGAAACTCTTTGGCTGTTTTAGTTCGAATAGGAATAATGGGCTCTGAGACAAAACGAGCCTTCACCTCTGGAGGGAGTACATCAATAGAGATACGATGCTTCTGTCTCACATCTGGATATATTGGGGGAAGCTCTCTCACTGAAAACAACGCACAGGCGAATAAATTAGACTGCAGTTCACAATCTGAGCAAGGTGAGCATTCATCATTCACTTAAGTAGGGCTTTGCAATCATTTTTAAGCTAACAATTACTTGCCATTATCTTATCAGAAGCAACTCTAAAATGCATCCCAACAACCACGTCATAACATGCACACCAACAGCATAGCGTTTTTACATTTAAACGGACCTAAGTCCTTTAATTCTCAACAAATGCACTGAATAAGGATGAGTTAAAATGTTATACTTGTGGACTAGTAGGAGTAGGAACAACTGGCATTTTTCACAGTTCACCCAGTAAATTTACAAGGTAAAATGAGAACATTCAACAAGCTTTAGCACTGCATCAGGAACCAGGCCATGTATAATGTCGTCATAACAAGCCCCTAGCTCATCTGTCCTAAAGAAGACATGTTAGGCATGAACACAACCATGCCTTGTCAGAAACTTGAAGATAAATACATCACATAGACAACATCTTTGATCTCTAAGACAAAGAAAGGAAAACATCTGCTTGAAACAGTGAAGTGCTTATTAATTCAAAGCAGCCGAATGGACTGCTTTGAAATGCAATGAGTTTTTTGCCCTCTGTTTTAAAAAGGAATCACCTTTAAATAACGCTTGCATATCATTTTAGACTCATACTAACCAGTGCTTGTGTTGTTGTAGACCTACTGTGGTGTACAGATTGTGGATGGTTCAAATTTAAAGGAGGATAAAAAGGATTAAAAAATAAAATGGATCAGAGCAACAAGAATTAGCCAGGAGTGACACAACTGGAAAGTGGTCTGACCTTGTTTAACTGCAGGTAGAAATAATGGAGAGGAGAAACTGTGGCTGCCTGACTCTCTTTTGTGATTCAAGGTGGAGATAAAACTTCCGTAAGAGGGGAAAGGGAGCTTCGGTCCACGCTCCAAGTTCTGCTGATGAAACGTTCTTTGTTATATTTCAATATTTTTAGAAATAAGCCATGCTGCAATCCACCTGTACAGTGCTTATAAAAATGTGAAGATAGCACTGCACAACAGCTACAGCAATAAAGTAAGCAACTGAACAAAAATAAGAAAGTAAATGATAATTTGATCAAAATACTTGTGCATTAAGTTGCAGTATCCTGCAATGCAACAATGTAGTTCACTATTCTTTGTTAATTTGCTGAAGATAATTAATTTTTAAAAAAAGGTATTAGGCTCTAATAACACAAAAATAATATAAATAACACAAAATAATCAAAACTAGAATATGCCTCTAAAATACTGTATGTAGCTCAAAACAGTATGTCTGATAATATTTTTTTCTACTGGAGAAAGTTTTTGTTTTATTTCAGCTAGAATAAAAGCAGTTTCTAATAAAAAAAAATAAGGTCAAAATTAAGGTTTTAAGCTATATATTTTTTTAATAATCTACAGAAAAAAACATCGTTATACAATAACTTGCCTTATTACCCTAATCTGCTTAATTAACCGAATTAACCTAGTTAAGTCTTTAAATTTCACTTTAAGCTCTATGGAAGTGTCTTGAAAAATATCTAGCAAAATATTGTTTACTTTCATCATATTTTGCCAAAGATAAAATAAATCAGATGAGTTAGAGATGAGTTATTAAAACTATTATGTTTAGAATTGTGGTGAAAATTTCCCTCCGTAAACAGAAATTGGGTAAAAATAAACTTATATATATATATATATTATAAAAATATACTTCTCTCATTGCATAACCACAAGGAAAATACAAATAAGTACGTTAACAAGCAAATATGTAGTGCAGTTAAACGAATCACATTTTTTAACTTACTTAAACCGTGTTCTGTTTCAACAACTAAAGGCTAAAGTTAAAGTACGTTCTTAATGCAGCCTTAAATTTCCATTATCACATCATGAAAAAGTAAAAATCAGCAACAAAAAAAAATCACACTAATACACTTACAAAATATGCATTGACGTAAATGTTACATACGTACACATTACTTGTGTATATTATCTTCTGCATTGCCTGAATTTCATGAAGATAGGTTACTTACATGGTTTATTATTGGAGGAAGTCTGTCTCTATCCCTTTCTTCAAGCGGACAGTTATTTTCGCTCATGTTTAGATGCATGTCCTCTGATGAAGAAAAGCCTCTCGAGCACCGTTACATGGCTTGTTTTTGCGGAAAAAGTACTTTCACCGTCTGCGAAATCTCAGTGCCCACTTTCCTTTCACTTCGAGAAATACAGCAGCTGTGAGTTGGTCCAGAACGATATGTTCTTTCTGCTTAGGCAGGTGAGTATGTGAGCCCAAGATGTTCAAAAAAGTCGCTTATTTGCTTTCTAAAGAGAATAAACAAACATTTTAAGAAGAGACACAAAAAGAAAAGCTACAAAAAAATCTTCGCGACGCTGCGTTTAGTGAGTGAAGTAACTTCTTGAAGTAGTGCCGTGGCGTCTATGCGCGGTCCAGCTGTACGCTGGCGCCATGTTGTTGAGGATGATGATGAGGTTTGTAGTTACGGACTTGGATACGGCCGCTACATCGACGTAACACTGGGGCCGTGCTGTGCTGAGTCAGATTTATTGCACACCTCTAATTAGGATCTTTCCTAGAGCTAAACACACAGACCTTCCACTCTCAAAGTTGTGTAACATCAAAATCACAGCTTGGATGTCGTGGTAATATAAAACAAATCGAATAATAACGCATAGAAAAGTGAAAACGCTATGTCGATTAAGAATTGGATTAAATGTGAACACAGACTAGTTTATGCATGTTTTGCTAATAACTAGCCTACATAAGATGTTGCGTGTACTGTATTACATTCTCAGCTTTTCCCTCATGGACTGACTCATACCAAATTTTGGGAGGTGTGGCCAATGTGCACACACTGGAAAAATGAGGATGTCAATGTCAATGTCAATTTTATTCATATAACACTATTATACACAACCAATGTGCTGAACAATACAAATTACAAAAAAAAAAAAAAAAAAATGTATAAAATTATAGCTAAAACAAACAATTCTTACTAATAGTTATTATAGCTAAAAAAGGAGACCTCTTGAAAATTCTGTGGATCTACAATTCATAGTTAGTGATTCAGTACATAGTTAGTGATTGAGAATATATTTATTCTTAAAAAATAAATATAAATTAATATATATATATATATATTTGTACGCTGTGGCATGTCTTCTAAATTTAAAATTGGTGTCCTTCTGAATATTGTTTTACAAATAAATGGCGTATTCAGGCTAGGCTTTTTCAGTCTATCATATTATTTTGTGAATCATTTGTAAACATAACTGTATATATACACTGGTGGAATAATTGATTTTTATTAACAACACAATTGCCAACTTCTGAAAAAGAAAAAGGTAAAAAAATATTTTTATTAAAAGTAGAAAAAAAAAAACATTATTGCCAAAGCAATGCCGGAAACATTGATGTCAAACGCATAGCCAATAGAAACAGATAATCCAGCGTAACTGGAGAGATTCTTAATACAGATTTTATAAATAGTTATAAATATATCCTAAATTGTTTTTTGAATATGCTGTTATTTTTTGTTTGGGGTTTCTTCTTCACTAACTCTGTTTAATGTAAACCTCAAATGCTTTGGCAATACGTAACATTTTTCATGCCAATAAAGCAAGTTTGAGAGAAAGATGGAGAGAGATGTTTGTGTGAACTGTGAGTGAAAGAGCTTCAGTCTCAAGGGAGGAATAAGCATTGCCAGGTCCTTGTGTCAGCATAAATATAAACCATATATTATGTTTAAACCCATTATGTATTTTTACAGTCAAATCTGTCACAAGCCAGTGAATAGAAGTGATTAACTTAATCTAAAATATAAGTTAAAGTAAAATGAATATAAAGATTCGAAACTAAATACAATTATAAGATGAAACAAACAAATAAGATAAAAACTTCCTAATAAAAATTAACATTTAGCAATTACCCAACATGTTGTACTGCTGTTGCGACTCTCGGCCAGCAGGTGGAGGAAGAGGTTTTCTTTTGGAAAATGTGAATCTGCACAAGTTGGCTGTAATTCACAATCTGTAATACAATCATATTCGTTATAGCAACAGTGTTTGTCAATATTTACTCTACAGTATTTATTTACTCTAATATTTGGTTATGTCTATATCTATGTTACAGGATGCCTATAGCAAATACATCTTATTATTTGGTTTGTCATTAGTATTTATCACTCATCCAGGTATAAGATTATAAAGAGCCACAGAGAACACACACTAATTGGAACGCAGTTAAATACATTGATTGATTGATTGACTAATTAAGTCAGAAGTTTTTTAATTTTTTTATTTTTATTATTATTTGATCAAAATAACAGTTTTTTTATTATTTATTATTTTATTTAGCTCTCACCTGCATAAGATTTTAAAAAAAGAACTATGCATGTAGTCCCAAGTAGAAAATAAGAAAATGCATTTTCTTTTAAATTTAAATAAAAATGTACTATTACAGCTTTTTTTTCCAACTTCATTGCAAGATGAAAAAAAAAAATCCTCCCTATGTTTGATGTTTTGTTTTGTTTTTCCTTCCAGAGCATCAGTGAGCATTTAACATTCTGTAATAGTATGAGCCACTCAGATGTTCCCAGATGTAAAAAGTTAAATGGGAAAACAGCTCGGTATATTTGGAAAGGTGTTAAAAAAAAGCTAAAAAAAATTAAGTGATGTTTATTTAAAAAAAAAAAAAAAACTAATTTTGAGAGGATCACATGCTTATTATATACCAGCTGGTTTTGCATTAGCTGATTTAATCAGATGAATCCAAATGTACATAAATAACCAGATTTATCATCTTACCTTATTCATCTTTGTCTTAAATCCACCCCTACTCCTCCCCCTCTTTCCTAGAATAATACAGGCCACTGCGGCTCAGTGGTTAGCACAGTTGCCTTACAGCAAGAAGCTTGCTGGTTCGAGTCCTGGCTGGGCCAGTTGGCTTTTCTGTGTGGAGTTTACATGTTCTCCCCATGCTTGCATGGGTTCCTCCTGCAGTATTCCGGTATCCTCCCACAGTCCAAAGACATGCATTATAAATAAACTGAATTAACCAAATTGGCACCGTATATGAGTGTTTTAGTACTGAGCATTCACCACATAAACATATGCTGGTATAGTTAGCACTTCATTCCACAATGGCAATCTCTAAAAATCAAGGAATAGACCAAAAAATTAATTTGGGGAACTCTTGGACCTACCTGAGCCCAGACTCCTCTCACTCCCAATGAAACGAGAGGGAGCCCCAGGCTCGATGACCTTTAGAGCTCAGGGATCTCTCCCGGGACAGCATGCTAAACATGCTTTATTATCAATCCTCAGCTAAGTGTGAACATTTGAATTGTAGGGGATTTGGAAGATTCCATGACATATATTATGCGCCACACTGTAAAAAAATTCTGACTGCTTAAACTCAAAATTTTATAGTGACTGGTTTCAATTGTAGCAACAGTCTGTTAGCAATGAGAATTGAGGCTCAGTAAAAAAATGTTGCGTGGAATTTGTGCATGTGTTATTATTTTTTTTGGGGGGGGGGGGGTGGGGGGGGTGGGCTTATTGTTGGGAAGTAATTTGTTGAGTCAATATTTAATTGTCAATTGTTACTACAATTTTTTCAAAAAGTAAATTTTTTACAGCGAATGTATCTTATATAAGGGGTGGTGCAGTGTGTCACACTGTTGCCTCACAGCAAGAAGGTCATGGGTTCAAGCCTCGACTGGGTCAGTTGGAATTTCTGTGTGGAGTTTAAATGTTCTCCCCGTGCTCGCATGGGTTTCCTCCACGTGCTCCGGTTTTTCCCAAAAGTCTCAAGACATGCGCTATAGGTAAATTGGGTAAGCTAAATTGTTCATAGTGTATGTGTGTGCATGGGAGTGTATGGGTGTTTCCCAGTGATGGGTTGCGGCTGGAAGGGCATCCGCTGTATAAAACATATGCTGGATAAGTTGGTGGTTCATTCCGCTGTGGCGACCCAAGATTAATAAAGGGACTAAGCCGAAAAGAAAATGAATGAATGTATCTTTTATATCTTATTTGACGTGTATCTCATATGTATACTTTGAACTATTTATGTGTGTATTTTTGTGAGGATAGAGCAGTGCATTAAAGTCTATATTTTTCCATGAGAACAAACTCTCTGTTAGAAAGTGAGTCTTACCATGGCTAGAAGATCACGAATGGAGAGTTTTATGACACGTATGGCACCTGCCGGGAATAGGAAAGAGATAATGGTAACAGGTGGATGAGAACCAGAGAGTAATGGTTTGTGTGATTTCGCCGGGTGGGATGTATTGCTGGATCAGCATCTATGTTGAACCTGGAACAACATTCCAATCAGCCAATCAGAATTAAGGGATTGCATCGTGCTTGGCGAGGTAGTATCAGAAAATAAGGATTTGCATCATTGGTTTGGATAACCAAGTTCCGGTATATTCTGTTAAGTTTCGTATCGATTTTAAAATATTACTTCTTACCTAAAAAGCTTTAAATAATCTAACTCCTGTTTTTCTAACCAACATTCTGTCTCGCTACATTCCAACCCCCTCTTTAAGATCTCAAAACTCAGGGCTTCTGGTGGTAGCAATAGCAAAGTCGAGTAAAGGAGGTCGAGCCTTCTCATTTATGGCACCTTAATTCTAGAATAGCCTTCCTGATAATGTCCGAGGCTCAGACACACTCTCGCAGTTCAAATCTATATTAAAGACCTATCTTTTTAGTAAAGCATACACTCAGTGCATCACTTAGCGGTATAATACATGGATGTGCTCCACGCAGGTTTTTGTATCTTGTTTAAAAACGCTATGAACAGCAGCTATGCTAATTATTCTCTTTATTCTCTATTTCCACGTGGGGATACTCATGCCGAGGCCCCAAGACTATACAGCACCACTGATTCAATATAAGCACAGCAGCGAGATAATTCCACGGTTTCCATAATCACGGACCAGGCCGTATCCTGAGCAGCTGCTGAGGTGGTCATAGAGGAGTGAAGAGCATGGGACAGACAAGTCTTCGCTAAGGTCCAGCATTCTCCAGCCTTCGGCACCTTGACTGCAGCTCTGCACAAGACGTTTGGCCACAGGAGAAATGGTCGTGCTCAACTGAGCCTGGTTTCTCTCGAGGTTTTTTAATTCTTTACTTTCGCTAATTTGTGTTTTTTTCCTCTCCGTTCTCGCCACTGGCTTACATGGTTCAGGATCTGAAGAGCTGTGCATCAATGGATTTGCTCTTCAGTGTTTGGACTCTCAAGGTGCTTTCACACTTGGTTCATTTGCCTGGACCGTACCCAAGTTTGATTGTCTCCTCTTCCCACCTCCTCACTTGGTTTGTGTTCACACTGTCTTTTTTCCTTCTAAACCCCGGTAGGCTTGCGCCATCGAGCTGCTGTTGTGTTTACGGCCATTGCTAGGTGACGGTCACGAAAGCAAGCACCGAAATGGAAAGACGTTCACACATCGCGGTCATTCTGCTTTAACTGAAGATTTTGGTTTTGAACATACAAAAAGCGACTCGCGTCCATCTGCCAAAAAATGTTATAAACATTCAGAACATCACACAGTGTCTGCAGAAGCTGTTTTTGGAGGAGACAAGCAGATATCACTGTGTATCACTGTGTTTGCTCTGGCTCAGTCCTGCATGTGTCACCAAGGTACGAAATGTGACACAGACAAACACACACACACAATGTTATGAAAACGATAGTTTGTTGTACAGTTGGCGGTTCACTTCTGTTATTTGGTACGTATTTTGGTGCATTCACATCAGAAGTGAACTGTACCAGGGTTCGCATGAACCATACCCTAGATCACCTCTTTCAGGCGGACTCGGGTACGGTTCACGGGTGCGCATCTGAGTTCAGATGACATGTTCAAACTCCCGCAATTAAACAAATCGGCAGACACAAAAT